AATTTTACTTTATATCGGTTTTTACCTGTAATTTGGTCTGCTTGCCATATACTCCAACTTGTATCACTCCTTAGACCATGTGGCTAAACCGGGTCGGTTATGTCTGAATTATGGTAAAGAGCAGCCCAAATACATTTTTTCATAGCATAAATATTGTTACAGTTTTGTCGAACAGCCATTCCATAACAGTTCTGAAGTGTATTTTCAGCTTTATCGGTGAATCTACCTTTTTCATAATTTTTTTATTGTCAGATAAATTAACACTTTTTATTTCCTGTCGCAAATTCCTGTACCAATTCCCTTTTGCACATGTTCAATACATTTATTTTTATCAATAACCACATTGTCACTATATGAATTATCCAATAACTCCTTTTAAAATGTCAAAATTCATAATAAAATTAAAATCATCTGTAACTTATGTCTTATTTAGGAAAAAGATTTGTAAACACAACCAGTCAGCAAAGTAATAATTGTCAATACAAATTATCTTTAAAAAAATTTATATAAACAAAAAATGGTAAGTTATGTAATGTAGCAAGAAGCATTTAGGCAGTTTATAGAAATAAAATGGAGAGATTCGACAAGGAGAAAAAAATATGAAAAAGAAAAGAAAAAAATAGTAAAAAAAAAATATCGTAAATTTTTTTTCTCATCATTAAGTCATAAAAATCAAGCAATTGGCCCAGAAAATTTTAATGGAAACATTGTTACTAAGTCTTGCGATAAAATAACGAATACTCTATTTAAAGTTCTTAATTGTTCAATAAGTCAAGGGATTTTTCCGGCCCAAATGAAGGATGCAAAAGTGACCCCTATATATAAAGGTGGTGAACTAACAAATCTTGGGAATTATCGTCCAATTTCAGTTTTTTCATTTTTTTCCGAAATTCTTGAAATATTTTTATTTGATCGAATTTTAATCATCTTTCTGAAAATAATATACTTTACAACAACCACTACGGTTTCAAAAATAATAATTCTACAGAACATGCAGTACTTCAAAACTCACAAGAATTATTACTGACTCCTTCGAAAAATCACAATTTACTTTAGGTATTTTTATAGACCTATCTAAAGCTTTTGATACTATTGATCACGGCATTCTATTAAATAAATTAGAACATTACGGTATCACTGGTTAAGTCTTAATGTTATTAAAAAGATACTTAAATAATCGTAAACAATTCATGCATATTGATACACACTCAACAACTGCTGCTTTAGATATATCCTGTGGAGTCCCCAGGGTTCCATACTTGGACCATTGTTATTTCTAATTTATATTAATGACCTCTATAAAACTTTAATAAAAGTTTAATGACAATAATGTATGCTGACGATACTAATCTTTTCTTATCCCGAAATGACATCAAAAACTTATTTAATGACATCAATGTAGAACTAAAGAAAATATCTGACTGGTTTAAATCAATTAATATTGACAAAACTAAGTAGATTCTTTTTCATTCAGCCTAAAAAAAGCATAATACTACCAAGTGAAATGCCGCCGCTTTTCATCGATAAAATTAATATAAAAAGGCTAACTTTTACTAAATTTGTCCAATATTGGCGCTGCAATATTGCGCCAATATTGTAAAGTCAATATTGGCCCATTTGGCAATACAATATTGCGCCAATACTGTAAAGTCAATATTGGACAATATTGGCAAAATGTTCGCATTGCAATGTTGGCGCAATAATGCTTAAAATATTGCGCCAATATTGTAAATAATATCGCGCCAATAATGAAGATATAATACTGGCCAATATTGGTGTAATACAGTTTACAATATTATCCTGATATATATAATATATATAACTATAATAATGGAATATGTTGAGTATTTTCGATTAATTTTTATAATTAAAAAATGATGAAAAATATTGCCTTCCACAAATTTTCATAAAAACTTATAACAGTTTTCTTGTTTAAATGATATTATAGTACTAGGCTGCATTATTCTTTTGAGTTAAACAGGTTATGGTCAAGGAGATGTATATCTCCTAGACCATAACCTATTTATGGTCTAGGAGATGTATATATATATAGATGTATACGATGATTATAGAACACGCTTTAAAAAAAAAGGAAATTATTAAATTTATTTAAAGTTTTATGAAACAGATACAAATAAAAAAAAGAGGTATAGAGTTTTCCAAAACCAAAATATATTAAAATAAAATCAATGTTAATTAAAAGAAGGACAATATATATATATATATATATATATATATATATATATATATATATATATATATATATATATATATATATATATATATATATATATACATATATATACAAACTACTGTATTAAACTCTCACTACCATATAGTGGGCATCGACTTTCATTATTTTGGCGATACTTATTTCATTGGCGTTGCTCAGTTACGGTTTTATTTTTCTTACGTAATCTCTATTAATGGCCGTCGCCAGAAAGCTGCCAATTTTTTTTTTAATACTTTTGTCAGAAGCGATTTCAAAATGAACGAATGTTGTACTCGTTAAATAAATGACTAAACGCAACTCTACAAAATGTTTTTTCAATACCATCAATAATTTTGAAATTTAAAATTTTTCTTTACCAATATAATTTTGAAATATAAAATTTTTCTATACCAATTTAATTTTGAAATATAAAATTTTTCTTATATAAATATTGTAAATTAATTAGCTTTATTAAAATACTTATTTATTAAAAGGAAATGTAGAATACAAATATTGTGCTTTACCTATAACGACCTTGTAGATCGTTTTTGTTTCCTTCCATACATTGAGTATGAAAAACATATTTCATACAAACATATTTCTTTAGCTATTAGCTGTATTAAGATTGCTGCTGTAAGTTGTTTCTTATCTCCTCCATCCGAATAAGAAAGTTCATCTAGAATAAAAAAACAAATGTAGTATAATTGTTTGTACTAAAAGTTTAATGGTTTTCCATAATTTGTTTCTTATTACTCTTCCATAATTTGTTTCTTATTAAAATATAACATTATGGAAGAGTAAAAGCAATTGGTTATAAATAGATTAGATCAACCTTTTTGCAGATCAGGACTGATTTTTTTTTTTATAATGTAACACTAGGAAGAATACCATCCAAAATTTCATACAGGTTTGTAAGCTTCTCCTACCCTTGATCACAATAACAGAGTAGTATAAAATTCTCTAAGATTGGTTGTATTCGCCACAGCAAAAGCTGTGGCGAATACAACCACAGCAAAAGCTGTGGCGAATACAACGTAAAGATATCATAGATGTCTGAGATTAGTAGTTGTTGCTACACTAAATACATTGCTAAATGGGCATAAAAGATAAAAATCATGACAAAATATAATATACATTTATATAAAACATTATCATCAATCATGTTTCATATTGTATTATTTGTTTGTATGTTTTATATGAATGTATCATATTTTTTTTTAAATAAAATCTTTCATAGTATATGGAACTGTTTCTAAAACTATTAACTAATATTAATTTACTGATACATAATCACTGATTCATAATGTGCCTTTGTTCTTTCCAGATTAAGATCCTCTTTAACCAAAAAAATAACTCAATAAAAAAAACTCAATAAGCTCAATAAATTGAAAGAGATGGTCAAGCAAAGCTCTTATGGGAACACTTTACCCTAAAAAACTAAAAATTTCTTCTATCTTTGAGAAACTGATGTACAACTCATCAGTGTCACTATTTTTGTAACCTGCAACTTATTAAGCTGGAGGCATAGATAATTTTTTTTTATCACTATCAACAGCTGTTTCAATGCTTGATGTAAACTCTAACATTTCCATTCTAATGCAGTTTCTTAACTGTCAAAAAATATATAAAGAAAAAATTAAACCATACTAAACAATAAACAGTATTTGTGTCAAATATAGCTGTCTAGATCATTAGCATCTTGCACGTGTGTAACTTAAAATTAAACAACAAAAACAATATTTTAAATAAGCAATTACCTTAATAATAAAAAATTTGTATTATCAGCTGCTTCCAGTTACTTTTGGAAGCGTCGTTTCACGTATGGCAGCCAAAAAGATGCTTGCAAGTGATTTTGGCTAATACATTAAACTTTCTTTGATCAGCCATGCAAAATAGGTTACATACAATGCACACATACTGTTTTTCTATTAAAAAGTTCAGCCAGAGCAAATTTTCTAAACTTTATTGCCATCTTCAGTTTAACAGTACAACAGCTAAAAAAACTCATAACAAATAATTATTTAAAATAAAAAACTTCAGATTAACTTTTTTTTTTAATTATTATTTTTTTTTAACTGAAATATTAGTCTAAAACTTTTTGAGTTTTATTTCTTAATGTAAATTGTAATCGCTTTGTATTTCAAGTAGAGTTTAATAATTGGTTAGTTAAATAAAGTGAATTTTAAAGTTTGTGTGGTATGGAAAGGTTTTCATAATAACATTTTCTTATTTAAATATGACATAGGGCAAGTGTTAAGTATATTTGTTACAATTTTTTTTATCAGTGTTTTCATCCTCCAATATAGGTTGGCTTTTTATTATAGAGTATACTTTTATTTATTGTAGAAATAAAGTGGTTTAATTTACTTCGGCTAAAGAGCCGTAGTAAATGCACGCTAAAGACAACCAACTTGACGCTCTAAGCAAATTTTTACCCCGAGATTACGAGGTTCAAATGAGCATGAGATTAAGATCTTAAGATCAATTGACCGTGAGATTAAGATCTCATGCTGAATTGAATGAGTTAGCCAGGCATAGAATCAGTGGCGTAGCAAGGATTTTTGGGCCCTGAGGCAAAAACCAGTGCAAGGGTTTTTTATTTCCAAATAATTCCAAAATAATTTTATAGGAATAATACAAAAATTTTGCTTCAATAAATATATATATATAAAACGCTAGCCACAGTTACTGGTAGGTTAAAGAACAACATTAGAACTGTACATATTTCTGAAAACTCACTTTCTAAGCAACTGTACTTAGTAAGGAGTAAATCTGAAAATTGCTTAATCTACATTTTTGAAGTTAAGTCTGTTTTCAACAATGAAACTGCTTGCAGAAATTGATTACCAAAAAGAGGAGAGATAACTTTCGAATATTTTTTGGAAACATTTTCACACATTTCTAAGATATCTGTATCAGGCAAATTTATTATATTTTTAGGTTCTAAGAAGCAAAAAAGGTTTTTCACGGTTTGCATTCCCGAAAAACGTTGTTCAATTTGTACGCTGATTTTGTCCAATACAAAATAAAAAACATTCATTTTAAACAAATGCACTCTGTTCTGAAACCGATGATCTGAAGCCAATTCATCAAAATGTCGCTTTTTCACTGGTTGCCTTTTTGATTGAAAATTAGTTTCGATGTCCCACTTTCGTGCCAGTTCTTCTGCTTTTAATTTGATTTGTTCATATGACTTTCTAATGTCATTTAACTTTTCACGAACGTGTTTTAAAACTTCAGAAGCTTCCTCCAAGTCTATTTCATGTTTTTGTAAAGTTTTTGAAGCATAATTAACCTCGCACATTACCTTAAATAAAAAAACACAGATAAAAACAAAATCGAATGTCCCCATTTTTTTCTTTATTTGAAGTGCTTCTTCTCTTTCTTCTTTTTTGGTCGATTTAAGGATTATTTCAGTCAAAGCCTTTAAAATATCCGTAAATCGAACTTTTATAGCTGTTAATGATTGTAGTCTACCAGACCATCGTGTTGGATTTAGTTTTTTTAATGTAACTTCAGACTCCCCAGTAAATATAGAGAGGAGGTCCCATCTTTTTATGCTATTTCCAAAAAATAAATAAATATGTAATAAATATATAATACATAAAATGATAAGATATCATGCGAACCATTTATGCAGTCGTTAATTACCAAATTTAAATTATGACTGTTGCAGTGTACATACTCAGCATTTGGTTAGATTTGTTTAATCCTGGTTTGTACACCACTGTAAACTCGACTCATAACGTTAGCACCATCGTAACCCTTCCGATAACACTTTTCAATAGGAATATGTGCTTCTTTCAATAACGTCAATACTTGATTAGTCATTCCCTCTGCTGAATGGTCCTTCAAATCATAAAATCCTAAAAATGTTTCCTTAATTCTAAAATGAGTTGGTTCTTGATTTACATTTCTAACAATGTGAACATGCCGTATTATAACACTAAATTGGTCTCTCTTGGTAATGTCTTGTGTTGTTGTCTTTCCCAGGCAATGTATTAGTTCATTCTGTGTGGTCGGACTTAAGTATCGGATTGAACCAGATGGCATTTCTAAAATTTGTTTCATGACACTGTCGTAGTTAGAAAGTAATTGAACTTGTGATAAAAAGTTTCCATTATAATCCTCAGTAAATCCTTCAAGGTGACCACGAAATGCCAAAGAATTTTTTGATAACATAAGTGTTATGTGGAATAATCGTTCTAGAACCATCTGCCAAAATGATGCCCTATATCGTATTTCATTTTCAGCTTTTTTATGGATGGTTTTATTTTTCTTCCATAATTCGAGCACCGCACAGGCTTCAATGTGATGTTGGGATGAACTGTGCATTTTTATCTTTTGTGATAAATTTTTCCAATCTTTTATCCCCGATTGCCATTGACTTTTGATGCTTGAAAAAAGACAACAAGGATGACAGTATACTGCATCCAACGTACTTGAATAACAAATCCATAATCGTGGAACTGGGCCAAAGTTTGATGTAGAATAATAGTAAGTTTCATTGAAACTTCTGTTCTGTTGACTAGGATCTTTGGGAAATGGTCCTTTAGGTCTGTGACCAGGAATGCTTATCAGTAATCTTTTGGTTTCATCAGAAAAATTATCTGATTTAAATATTTTCCTAGGTCACTACATATAGTGGTATTTGTATAAATGATATTTTTTTCATTAATACCTGTTAAAACTTCCTAAGCATCTTCAGTGTCAACTATTTCATCTGAAATTTTTTTAATTTCTTCATCACTACAGTCTGCTTTAGTTGATTTACAAGCAATCACTTCTGTATAACCTTTCTCTAAAATATTTAACTCATCATAACATTCACATTCGATTGATGCATCATCTGGAGTACTCTCTTGGTTATTATTATTATTTTTAATAATAAACTTGTCTAGCTTTGGTAATTTATTTATTGCTTCTTCTTTCTGTTTTTTAAGTTTTCTTTTTTGAAACCCACTTTTACTCTTTAATAGTTCCATGTTTTCTTATAACATGGAAATGATCAGGATAAATTGTACAATTTTAAACTCCCTAAACAGAAAGCACTATATGGTTATTGCAATGCTTCTGATAATCTAAAGAAGAAAAACGGAAATTTCTTAAGAGAAAGGGAGATATAAAAGAAAAGAAACAATGAATAGAAATTTTCTATTTTTTATTTTTCTATTAGAAAAATACAATGGATATATAAACAATGTTAAAAACCACAGCAACAGTTACGAATACATATTTTTGACGCTACACGTGCATGTTAATGTTAGCATTTCTAAACTGTTACTAACGGTCCGGAAAAAACGCGCGTTTACTTAAAAATAAACCAATGAAAACACTGGTAATTTACATATTAGGAGAAATCTAAATAAAAAGGGGAGGGGAGGACTAATTAACTGAAAGATTTCTATAAAGTAAAAAATTGGAATCGCAATGAAAACTAGATAAAATATTGAAATTGTTTCTATAAAATTAAAAATAAAAGTGGCTGTGTGCTGTGGCCAAAGCTAAAAGGGCCCCTTTCAACTCTTGGGCCCTGAGGCATTGTCTTTGCTATATGGTAGCTACGCCACTGCATAGAATGAATATTTTTTTCATCTTAGGAACCCTAAAATAAATTGTTTAACATTTAAAATAAACATAAAAATTAATCGGCGTTTAATTATTTGAAATTTAATTTCATATTAAATTTATTTCTACAATAAAAAAAAAAGTTATACTCTATAATAAAAAAAAGAGTTTGTTTACTGGCATAGTGCAGTAAACTTACTGTGAATTGTATAACTTTATTATTTGAGATTTTAAAAAAATGATAAACAGCATTTGTTATTTAAGTATTAGGGTTGGTTTCATTAAAATATGATATGTCAACAAACTTAACATTTGAGGATTTTAAAGTATCTTTAGGCAAATACTATTATAAGAGTTTTGATATAACATATTGTTATTATTATTAATGTTGTTATTATTGTTATTATTTTCTATAGTTATAATTTTAAAAATAGAATAATTAGGCATATAAAATAAGCCTATCAACCTTTTGTTCTATTGTATCTACTTGTGTAAGTCTAATTGTTTATATACAATTGTATTTGATGTACCCAATATATATCTAGATGTTTTTTAAACATTGTGACAGATGTTGAACACACTATTTCAGATCATAGACTATTCTACAAATTTGTGAATTGCATACTAAAAAAGTTTTTCAGGACATCTGTCTTACAAAACTTTTTCTACAATTTATAAGCATGACCGCAGGTTGTAAAGTTAAGGTTAGTCATAATGGAGGAATAAATACTAACAGCATTTATAGTCTATATATTATTACTATAAAGCAGCCATATTGACACACGTGCTATTACAACTCAGATTAAATACTTAATGGTCTGTAATTACAATAATAAACATAACAGCCGTGTAGATGACATCACTCTAACACAGGTGTTGATGGATAAAATACTGAATGGTAATTAATGAGAAAAAAGAAGGTTTATAACTGCATTTATAAAGATTGTGAATGCATTTGTAAGTTTCTGCCATGTCATTACGTAAGAAACGATAGCTCATGCTAGTTAAATTTAGTCCTAGTAGTCTTTGGTTGTAAGTAAGTCCAGTCTGGCCAAAAACAGATTTACTAGACTTGCATTAAACATTTTCAATTAATTGTTGATCTTTTTAAAGCCTAAGATAGTAGACAGAGCTGCAAGAATCAAAGTGAGGATGAACAAGGAAAATAAACAAAGTACGAAATGTCAAGATATTGAGATTGACAGATGATCTTTCGATCATTCCAACATATTTATCGCAGTATTATTCTTTGTACTTACAAAATAAAAGTCAAATTACTGTCAACGAAGATCTCAAAGCCTTTATTTTCAAGAGAGTTTTTAAGTATTGAGATTTGTATCAACGAATATGTAAATAAATTTTGTGTTTGTTGGTCCTAAGGGCATGACTTTACATTTTTTTACAATAAAACTTAGTTTTCACAGTTTTGCCCAGTTTGCTATAATTTCCATATCTTTTTGCAGGTTTTTGCATGGTGAACTATCAGAAATCAAATTGAATAACGTATCATTTGCATATACAGATACAACATCTAAAACCAAATCAAAAAAATCATTAACACATATCATAAAAGTAAATAATGGGAAACCACACTATTCACTATTATTCATTTTGAGTATGTACCACCAGTAGCGGACTGGCAAATTTGAGCGGCCCGGAAAACCCCAAGTGGACCGGCCTCAAAATATATAAACGTAATATAAAATAACATTTTAATATACTATTACATATAAATACATACCTAATAAAAAATTAATAAACAAAAGATTCTTAACCATTTAAATATTTACTAATACCAGGAGCATTTTCTCTTATTTTATCTATTATTGTATAATTATTTAAATTAACCAAAATATCCTTCTCTATCGCCATAAGCATCAAAAACTGCAAATTATCTTGTGACAAGGAAGATCTGAGCTATTTTTTATAACTTTTAATTTGTAAAAACTACGTTCACAAGCTACTTGCGTCGAAGATAATGTTAAAATAAATTTATATGCAAAATAAACATTGCTGTATACTTTGCTATAAAAATTATGTTTAGCCAAGAAATTAAAACTGCAATAAATACAATTTTTGCAACTCTTTTTGTTTTTGAGGCATACTTCACTTATTATTTCTGAATCTGAATCAGTTAATACATCGGTGTTATATATATAATAGATATTTTAAAGTCGTCCCATTTTGTCATTAAATCAGTTAATTCCTCCTTTAAATTTGACGCTGTAGCTGTTTTATGATATTTCACTAGTAATTTACTGAGCTCTTCTAAACTGTTTTCTGAACATTTATTGTCGGTAAAATTTTTAGAGTCTAATATTGCCATGTCTGCATATAATTTTCCATAATTTTTAAAACGGTTTTCTATAGTATTTATTGTGGTATTTATAATTACGTTAAACGTGGTTATTTTATATTTTTCGATTGGGTTTTGAATTCATGATCTTCGGTTATTTCGTCGGGCATTCTCTTTCGCTGTCTAAATCTCTCTTCTGGTATATCTTCTTCGACAACTACTTCACAATTTTCCTGATCAAGTGTATTCGCACGTTTAGCAAATAAATTTGTCTTTTCTTTTACATTACTAAAATCCCGTGAAAATTTTTTTAAAGAATTTAATGTGGAAGTTACCATGTTATAAGCTGTTAAATAATTTAAGTTGCTGGTTTTTTAATTTAAATAAACGGTCCAATATATTTAAAATTTTTTAAATAAATATGCGCTGTAAGTATAACTTTAAATTTTAATAAAGACTCCATTAGTGTTGATGCAGTGTGTCTAATTTGAGCATTGAAAGATACATTAGACACAAAATAATTCAAAGTTATCAATAAGAATACATATAATGAGGTTTCTTTGTTATCATAATGCCCAAAAAAATTTTTAAGTCCTGTTTCTTTTGCTGACCATCTTGTTTTACCTATAACGTTAAGTCTCTGGTGCCTTATTTTTACACTGGTGTTTTCCCAAACATCCATACGTTGATAGCATTCTCTTAGAAATGCGGCACACGAGTTGAGTAATTGAAGGAGAGAAGTACCTTCAATTACAGAACTAGTAGCATCTGTGACAACTAAATTCAATACATGGCCATAACACCAAACGTGAATTTGACCAGGCGATTCTTTACTTAACCAACTGGTGAAGCCATTATACTGTCCACGCATGTTTGCTGCTGCGTCTGTCGAATTACCGATACAATTTTTAATATTTAATCCACTGTTTTGAATAAAAGTACTAATTAAATTGCACATGTCTTTCCCTGTAGACGATTTGCAATTTAAAACAGCTACTACACGTTCAAAAATATTTCCCTTTACATATCGGACAACAATTGAGCACTGATTCATTTGCGTTATGTCCTGTGTGGTGTTAATTTGCAAAGAAAAAATACCTGCTTCCTGTATATCTAACAAAATGCTATTATGAATTAATTTTCCACTGGCTAAAGCTACCTGGTTAATAGTAGATTTTGAAATTAATGAAATGAAACTGCCTCTACTTTTAGTTACCGCAGATGTTTCATTATTTTTCTTCTTTTCGTTGATGACTCTTTATTTATTTAGAAAATAGTAATATTATTTCTAAAAAGTTACCATGGTCTTATTGATTATTTTCAAGTGAAAGTGAAGAAACAGATTCAGATAAGTGAGCGCGAAAAGCTAATCCTTTTTTTCCAATTAATTTTATAATTCTTTCCAATACTTGTTTTTCTCAATAATATTTTTCTGACGTATTCTTCCTTAATTTGTGAACATTAAATTATAAATATCTTTGCCTTTAGATTTGAGCATATGACAATTTACACAATTTTCATGCGTTTTACTATTTTCATGTTCTTTAACACGTTGCAAAGTGTGCCTCCAGTCCGTCGTTCCACGCTTTACAAACGAACTCTCGTTTGTAAATATCACTGTAAGCCAAGCACATGGTACAAAATAGAGCATTTTTTTCCAAACTATATGATAGCCAACGACTATTTACTTTATCTTCTCTATAAAATATTAAATTTAATTTAAAAGGTAAATTAGTAATGTAATCAATGGTTGGTTGGCATGGATGTTTATTAAAAAAGTCTTCATAATTTTGATTTCCTGGCCTTATGAAATAATTATCTGATAAGAAATTAAACATTTTGTTTGTTGGTATTATCATTTCATTATTGGCCTGGGTGGAAGTTGAAACTGAAGTTATTTCTTCAAGAATTGATGTTTCAACTTTATCTGCGCCAATGGGATACATAATATATCATCATTCGTCGAAACTGATGAATTTAAATCCAAATCCTTATTCAAATTTTCAATATCAAATGCATTGATCTTAGAAGTTGAAGCAAACATATCACTTAGCTTAAGAGTATTTTTAGCAGCTTCTTGTATGATTTTTTGTCGCTTTTCTCTCTCTTTTTGAGCTCCTTTAAATTTTCTTTTTTCCGTTTTTTCTTAATAATAAACGTAAATAATTTAACAATATAATACAACAAGTACTTATTTAACCCATTAACGCCTAAACAAAAATTAATCGATAATTTATTCTTAAAGTTTGCATTGATATTATACGCTTTAAGAAAATAAGATTTATCAAAAATGTATGAAAAGAACAATAAATTATATTACATATGTATAGTTTATAAAATAATAATAATAATATTATATAATTAAAATAAAATGAACACTTTCAGTTGGATGAAAAAAATGAGAATAAGATCTGTTTAAATAGATCTATTTATTGATAACTTTTTTAATATCGAACAACGTTTTTGCCACCAAAAATAAATTTTTACTTTTCTTTTCAAAATAAATTTTTGATAATTACTTTTAATAATGAAACAATCTTTTGTTGAAAACCTCGATTATCTGATTATATAAACACGCTAAATTAATATTATTATTAGTCGAGTTACGTCATTTTTTAGGCTTTTCTATTTTAAAGTAGTTTCTAGGCTTTTCTATACGCGGTTTTTTTTTTTTAATTTTATTTACTAACAACGCGTTAGTAAATAAAATTAAAATTAATTTTTACGGGTTGCTTACTGCTAGTTTAATATTAACTTACGTCATTCTATTTAAATTAGAACGTTTATGTTTTTATAAAGAATATATTTAAAGTCATTACTGCTAATAATTAAGAAACATTTTTATGAAATTAAGTTATAAAATATTTCTCATATTAAACCTTTATTTATTAAACTCTTTTAATTTAGTTATTTATTTTTTTTATTCAGAAGAAATAATTTAATAGTTTACATATCGCCGGCTTTGCGGCCTCTAATTCGACTGGCCCACCGGGAAATATCCTGGTGTCCCGCCGGGGCAGTCCGCCACTGTGTACCACCAACAATGATACTCTACTGCCGATCTCTTATTTAACATTTAATCCAATTGTAGAGTTTGTCATCTATTTTATAAGTTTTTAATTTTAGAAGTAGGAGATAGTTGTAAAGGATGTCAAAAGCTTTCGATATATATTTGGATATAAATTTACTATATTAGTTTTACTCTCCAAGGCTAATGTCTAAGCGTCAATCTTCACTAAAGTTTATTGCATTTTCAAAGTCGCATTTGTATAACTTATTACTATTTTCAGCATTTCCTTATTGCATGAATTTTACTTTAATCTTATTTAACTACTCTTAATATAATGTGATTTAGCAAATCTAGTTTAACTTATTGATTCGTTTATTACCTATAACATTGCATTAAACTATTGCATAAATTAAAGAGCTATATAAAATAAAACACATGAAAAAACTTTTTTATTGCAAAATTTCTATATGGTAATAAATTTATAAATCTATGTGTGTGTGTGTTTGTGAGTGTATACGTGGGAAGATCAATAACATTTATATATATATATATATATATATATATATATATATATATATATATATATATATATATATATATATATACACATATATATATATATATATATATATATATATATATATATATATATATATATATATATATATATATATATATATATATATGAATATATACACATATACATATAACATATGTGTATATATTCATGTATATGTGTATATATATATATATGTATAGTAGCCAGAGTTTTGTGAACAATTTGCACCATTTACACAGCAATAAGATTTATCGTTCATGATGATTTCAAGCTCATTTGATGGCTTAAAAAAAGTTTTTGAAAGTTTTAATAAGTTTTTCTTTTGTTTAATTTCTTGCTTTTCTGTTGTTTTTGGTGCATTTGAGCCCTGTTGTATCAACAATTAAAACACCACCTTATGGAACATCTGATTATCTTGTTAAAACTATTCAACCGACTCTGAACAAAAATTAAAGTTGACTTATGAATTCGAATAGTGTTGTAAATGAAGCTAAGCAACGGATAACAGATCCTAACGAAGTTCAAGTTTCATTTGATATAGTCAGTTTATATCCATCCATACCCATTGACGAAGCAATTCCGGTTATTATTGATATATTGAACGCTGACATTGATGACTTAAAAACTCGAACTAAACTTACTCTTGCAGACATATATCAATTAATTGAACTTTCATTAAGTATATGCTATTTTTTATATGAAAACAAAATCCGAATAATACCTAGTTCAGGTCCTATAGGTTTATATTTAATGGTTGTTATGGCGGAAGCGTTTTTACAAAATATAGAAAGAAAAGTTCTTAACATAGCAATAATTCATACATCCGAACTAAAAACTTACAAGAGATATGTAAATGATTGTCATTCTCGCTTTGCTTCAATAAAACAACAACAAATGTTCCTGAACTTCCTTAATGAACAACATCCTGCCATAAAACACACAGTGGAACTTGAAAATGACCTCAAACAACTCAATTTCCTCGATAATAATATTACAAACACAGGCTCTGGAACCGTTGAATTTCAAATACATAGAAGAGAAGCTATTACAAATGTTCAACTTAAACCTAACTCGAACATTAATCCTAACATTACTATTGGCGTTTCAAAGGATTTTTATGTCGTGCTAAAAGAATATGCTCTCAAAAACACTTTTAAAAAGAAATTGATTTTCTAATAGACATCTTTGTTGAAAATGGCCACGACAAGAACATTCTAAATAATATTACTAAAGACTATTTAAAAAACGGTTCGAAAAACACCACTTATAGTATATGATACTTATAGTATAGCAATATTTTTCCTCTTCTCGTGATGCAATATGTTTTAAATCAATTACAACCACTTCTTGTAATTCAATCCTTAAATATTGAATAAAAGAATTTTATTACTCTTACCACTTCTTCTCGTGATTCAATCTGTTTCAAAATAAATTACCAACACTTCTTCTCCTGATTCACTC